CATGGTTTTACTACAAAAAATTAAATAATAATAATAATAATAATACAAAAAAAACATGGTTACTTAGGTTCTATAGTTAAAACTATGGTAACCACAAATATGGTTTTGCTACACTAACCTTATGGTTTAACTACGGCATTTGTAGTAAAACTGTGGTTGTAAAAAATGGTAGTCAGTACGCCAAAAAAATCATGGTTACAACATTTTTACTATAATAAAACCATGGTTAATTTTCGTAAGGGTTGGCAATAAAGCCTCAGTCTTTTAGCATGCACATAAAGCTAACTGAATAGAAATTTTATTCAGTATTGGAGTTCGGTTCAATGAGGACATGGAAATACAAAAAAGTTAATTCTATCTAATTCTATTAATAGACATGAATTTAACGTGGATGAAAACGAGGCTGTGAGGGAAAGAATTGCAGTGCGTTTAATGGATTGGACTGCTGTTTTAACAATTTATCAGTCCAGCTGAAAAAAAACGTCTTTCCAACAAAACAAAACAAAACAAAACACATAACCCTTTAGTATATAAAAACTATGTTTTGAAAGTTGTGAGTTGGAGAAAATTACAGGATATAGGATTTTTATACAGTGCGTGCCACTGTAAATACTATAAATCTGTCCCTCACAGCCTCATTTTCATCTGTTAAAATTCAATATGGCGTCTAACCTCATTTGTAGTGGTTCTCAACAATAATTCAACTTAGCTGAATTGCTAAAAACATACAATAAAGAGGTAAACTAAAATAAACTTTTTAAACAAATTTCTGGAATCTAGTTTCTGTTCGGGGGGAGCTTTGTCATAATTACAGCTGAAATACCTTACCTTATATTGGGAGCCTTTGAATATCATGTTGGATAATGGGAGGCCTTTGAGTCAAAAAGGTTGAGAACCACCGGTTTATAAAACAAGACAACCTCTCTTTACTGTGGTAAAGACATTGTATTGCACAACCTGCTGTATATCATTTTTATAATCTACAGCTGTATATAATCTATTTCATAAATATTTTGGACATATAGTACTCAGTGTACTATTGTCTTCTTACATTTTGTGAAGTTACCATACAGTTATGAGTGCCCCCTGGAAGAATTTAGAGCCAGAACATACCAAAGAGTACCATAGTATGTTTAGAATTACCATCCCATACCACCAGATTATTGTCTGTAAGGAACACAAAACAAAGGTACAAGGTGCCATAATGTGTTGTACATTTAACATAGTAGTACCACATAAACACCATGGTACCATTACAGGAATTTTTGTAACCACTATCCTCCTCAGTTGTGAAATATAGCAGTAGACTTCATGACAAGGCTGATTTGCCTTGGATGGAAAAATTCAAAAATGTGTTTGTCATGTTGTTTGTTTGTTTTTTATGCTGTCATTTGACCTTTTGACGTGGATGCAGTCAGTGCCAGTAATAATAAAGCCCAAAGTATACTTTGCACAGTCGAATGCTCAGCCTTTCAAAGCCATTTAGAGTGCGCGCACGCATGCGCAATATTGATCCCAGTGTCGCTTTACCTCTCCAAACGTTTTGAGCGATAAAAATGTCTTTGTATTTGTTAGTCGCTGGTGTATTTTAATCCCCTTAGACAATCGCTTGTCAATGCAGAAGTCTATATTGTTTTTGTCATCGTAGTTTGTTACTGTTCTCATTCCATTTCTTTTCCGACTGCGAAACAACGGGCCGAACCAGTGTCGCCACCTTGTGGACAACCTATTTAGTGCAAAAAAAAATGTGCAAGCTGTGCGTACATTGTACGCGGCATTGGAAAAATCAAGTTGCGCGTGATGTTCGTGTTACGCCACTGTACGCATGCTCTAGCGTACATGTAAAAACCAAGTATTTGGGCTTACTTCCTGTTGGTGGTGATGATAACAATGGTGAGAATGACGGTCACTATTGCCACCATGCTCATAATAAAAGCTTTGCACAGTGGCATTCGCAGTACGGTCATCAGTAGGGACCTCTCTCTACCCCCGTCTCTGCCCCGCTGACCCTCCAAGCCCGCTGGGTTCCAGACGTCCAGAGTCTGGCTGACGGTTTGCGTTAGGGCCGGGGCAGAGCTGGGCACTCTCTTCACCTGCAGTTTGCCTTTGTTGCGGTTGAAGCGGATGCTGTAGACGTGCTGCATGGCGGCCGGAAGGTAAGACAGCACCGTGGAGTCATTTGCTAGCTTGGGAAGACCCAAGTCGGGTAACAGGGTGTATGCGCGGCACAGAGGGCACTGGATGGTGTCGGGTTGGGTGGACTTCACGTTCATCCGCGCAAGACACTCCAGGCAGAAGGTGTGCTTGCATTGGAGTACCTTAGGGGTGTTGAAGACGTTGTTGAACTGGCAGAAACAGATGGCGCATTCCAGATCGGGGGGCTCAACGTTGTCATCCACAGGTTTGTAGGGGTCACGGAGGGAGTTCGGGTCAGACTCCATGACAAAGGGAGGAGGTGAGGGAAAGGGAAGTCAACGGGCATCTTCAAGATCCATGGCGATGTGGCAAGTCTGAAGAAGTGCAAGAACAGTTCAGTTTCATGAGTTAGACTGTTTTTTTCTACCACCACCAATAGAAAAAAAATGCATTAAAAACTGTCATTGTACACAATAAATATTGTTGGCTTTGTGACAGATTTCTTATGCTCCTCTATTGTAAGTCATCCTTGGACTGTATTGGATGAAATAAAATAACTTATAAATTATTTATTTATAATAAATATAATATATAAACAATAAATTATTTGATAAAAAAATCT